GAAGGAAGGAAGGAAGGAAGGAAGGAAGGAAGGAAGGAAGGAAGGAAGGAAGGAAGGAAGGAAGGAAGGAAGGAAGGAAGGAAGGAAGGAAGGAAATTGATTCCTTCCAGGGAAAGAGCCATAATAAACTTTGACCAGTCATTTGACCATTGCTTCACTTTCTGAAAGTTCTTGTGTAATGTAACTACTTTTTTATATGTCATAGAAAAGTTCCCTTAAACTGGTTTTWAAAATCTATAGGTGTCACAATAAAAAGCAGACTGATCAGTATTCCAAATATCTGCTAATTTCAACAGAAACAGTGAGCATCATACCCTACAAAACAAGCTGCCTTATCTTGACTTTGTTAGCAATGCACATTAAATGCACAGACAAAAAAACCAAAAACAAAACAAAAAATACCTGGTGAGCTCTTCTTTAATCTTCAAGGGTTCATGTGGGTAGAATTTCACTCTAAAGCACATGGTATATGGTGGATGAGCTGAAACATTATAAAGAAAAAGCATGAGAACAGTAGCAAACAAACATTGCCTCAGCCACTCTGAAGGAGTGATCTCAAAGACTCTTACTAATGGTTATTTTAGGCAGATTCAAACAAGAGCAGTAAATAGTATGCGCTCTATTTTGGAATGGGTTTTTTTGGCGAATGATAAACAGTAAGCAATGATAATACTACCAAATTGAAGAAACCATTAATTTAATGGAACTAAAGACAGTAGAATTCTTTCCATTTCCAGTATTTAATGAGACTATRGTCCCTACTTCTGAACAATGGTGTCAATACCAGGCATGACATTCAAAAGGAAAGAAATGGGGGGAAAGAAAAGGGAAAGGGGAAAAGGGGATAGAAAAGGGGGATGGCTTACAACAGGAAATATTTCAATTTTGCAATCAGTGTCTCTAAGGCACTGATTCAGAGCAAAGTGTAGGTCTATAATATTCTAGTTAGTTTTAAAATATTTTAGTCTGGGTATATTCTCAATCTACACAGTCAATGTAACTTTTCAAAAACCTGAAGAGATGGTGCTTTTATAACAGGAAAAGCAAAGGCAGAAAAAAAGGGAGTGAAAAATTACAGAGCAAAGAAGTATGACATCAGGTAAAACAGATACTTTTTTTTAATGGTAAACTATAACAGTAATTAATAATCTGCTAGAGATACCTTCTTATCTGTTTTACCAGTTCATAGGCTTGTATAAACTGCATATGATAATTAGTCAAAAAATCATTACACTCTTCAAGCTACTTTGACTGCAGTATTTACCTGTGTGCTGCCGAGATCCAGAAACACATTCCTGGATATCACCCAGTTCCAAGTGATATATAATAGTAACAGAAACTAAAAATGCATTAAAAGTTTTGTTATGGCTGGTATTTTTGGAAGGTTCAACYCTACTTGAAGATAGAGGAATATTTTCCTCTTTCAAAACCTCACATTGTACCTGAAAAAGTATGGTTAGCGTCAACAAAAACTGCTGATTTCACTTTTTTTTTCTTCCTTGTTTAAATAACTAATCGTTTAAGACACAAGGAGGAATTTCAGAAGGGATAAGAGTGGAAAGATGAAAAATACAGGAAAATAAAAAGCAAGCAAGCAATCAGTAACAAATARAAATGAAGAGGAAATTAAGAAAGAGAAACAAGAATGAATTGTTCTCTAGAGACAGTCTGAACTTTCACACTTATCAAATCTGGACAAGCCCTCTGAAGGCCAGAGAAACACTCAGTCTGTTTTCTGTGGGCTTTGCTGTCTTAGCTGTGACTGCAGCATGGTCTTACTGGGACTGCAAGCAGGCTGCAGGACAGAAGACATCATTATGCCTTCCCTTCCCTGTAACAGCAAAGAGGAAGGTGACGGAAATTCACTGTCCCCRAAAGGAAAGCGGCCATCCAGAAACTCACTAAGGAGTCATGTTGCCCAGACAAAGCAAAAGATAACTGAAGTCATCTTAARTGGCTCTGTCACTCCTCAATAGCCATCTTAAAACTAAGCAAAGGAGAAAAACCTGCACTTTTAGAATACTGTTCCTCTTACAATATGTGTTAGAAGAGATAGCCTGTATCAAACAAGCAAGAGCTCTTCCTCAGGAAAAAAAAAAAGAAAAAGAAAAAGAAGGCTTTTAAATGTTTTGGCAGATTCAGAATTAGTTTGTGCTTAAAATAGGGATGCAGAAATAAGAATAGCTAATGCATGGCTCTTTAGTGCCCTAGCAAATACATGCCTACTGCAAGGCTCTGAAAATGTACTGAATTTTACCAATTTTTTGCATGTCATAAAAAATTGAAAAATTGCCAGTGGTAAAAGTAAAGAAAGAAAATAAAAAGTTATATTAGAAGAGTCCCACTCCGGCAGTATGTAAAGCCACTTTAAAGTAACAGCTGCCCTATAAGCAAAGAGTATCATAGGTGTACACTGCTCTATAAAAACAGCCCACATTAATAGGAAAGGCTAAAGTAGGGAGTGTTTYACTTGTAGCAGAAGAACAGTATGTGACAGAAGCACACACCAGTGCACAGAGCACGGGGAAGATWTGTCAAGGCAGCTTAAAGCTTATTTTGCAAATCTTTTCCTAGACTCAAGCTTCTGTAACAATGCTCCTCAGCAGTGCAGCAATGCTACACAAGTCTGCTGCAGCCTGCTAAGCAAAGATCCTTTCTCAGCATATGCAAGAAGGGAACAAACACAACTTTCAATTTGAAATGTTGTAAAGATTATGAACCTGTCCATCTTATTCATTTCTGGAGATAAGAAGGTTCCCTGCAATTACAGAAGGAAACAAGATTCTGTTTCTTATTCCAATTAGAAAACTAGCCACAATGAACATCCAATGGGGAAGGAGAGAACTCCCAAAGCTATCCACTTTACCCACCATGCTAATTTTAACATAGCTCCTAAGCTTAATGTTCTTCCAAAGACGCATTTGATGATACGTAAATATTTAGCAAGGCCTTTGTCTAAYAGATTTTACTACACTGGAGAAAGGCACATGAGGACTTCATGTTCTCTCATTGGTTTGTCACAATGGAAACCAAGACAGGCATTGAATTTTATCAGCTCAAGAGATATGATTTCTCAATTCCTCAAAAGTAAAATAACTTTCTACATCATATATATTAAAGTRGAAACATTAACAACAAGGCTTCCCAAAACAGAGCACAATTTGCAGAAGTACATTTAATCAACACAAAACTAGCAAGCACATAATATTTTTTAATAGCTATTTCTTATAAGCCTTTTCTTTCAGAGAGGTCCTTTATCTCTCAGATAAGGAGCAGCTGGCATAGAAAAATGCTCAAGGCTCTGTCAGAATTTCCTACTATCAGAGTTCACTTTCTCACTAAAAAAGATCCACAATTACAATCATTTCAAAGGACTTTAGTGTGGAGAGCAGTCCTGAGAGCAAATTCCATTGCAGTAGGGCTATAAATTTGCTAACAGCACGTAAGAGAAAAAGGCAAAGGAACAAAAACAATAATTTAAATGATGCTAAATGCTGAAATCAGTCATGATCTACACACTCATGAAGGAGCTACACACAGAGCATAGGCATCCAGGCAACTGATTGTATGATTTTTAAGTTTATTTCACTTATATTTAATTAATTTACAGTATTCAATGGACATGAAACAGTAAGGATCTCCCTAAAGAACACCCAAACCTACAGCACCCTGACCAGAAGGAAGAGGGATATTGGAGCKGTAGCAATGTCTGCTCCTCCCTGGGTACAGACATCAGTATGGGACTCTCACATGAACTCCTTTTTAAGCAAAATAGAACAAAAACCCCACACCAATCACCAATGGTGATTCATATCACCATTTTCTTCACAGAAAAATAATCTGGAAAAAAAAGAAAAAAAATGTATGTGTGCTGGTTTTGGCCGGGATAGAGGTTTTTTTCACAGTGGCTGGTGTAGGGCTGTGTTTTGGATTTGTGTTGAACAGGGTTGATAATACAGAGATGTTTCTGTTATTGCTGAGCAGGGCTTGCACAGAGAAAAGGCCTTTTCTGGTTTTGTACTGACACACTGGGAAGGAGACTGAGTGCATGGGAGGCTGGGAGGGCAAACAGCCAGGGCAGGTGACCCAGCTGACCAAAGGGACATTCCAAATGACATGGCATCATGCTCAGTATATAAAGTAGAAGGAAAAAATAAGAAGGGGAGACTTTTGGACTGACTGTGTTTGTCTTCCCAAGTCACTGTCACACATAGTGGGGCCTTGCTCTCCTGGAGATGGCTGAACACCTGTCTGCCCGTGGGAAGTGGCAAATGAATCCCTTGTTTTGCTTTGGTTGTGTGTGCTTTTCCTCTTCTTATTAAACTGTCTTTGTCTTAACCCATGAGTTYTCCAGCTTTCACCCTTCTCTCCCTGATCCCGATGGTGGGKGACTGAGCAAGTGGCTGCGTGGAACTTAGTTGCTTGCTGGGGTTAAAAGATAACACTATGAAAAATGAAAACAGCTTTTAACAGCTGGTGAAAAACTTGATTGAAATTTTATARGTGTCAACCAAACAGAGAAAGATGGAAGATTCTCAGCTGACACTTTTTGGATGGTTTCCTGTTTGTTGTTTACAATTTGCTTTTAACACATACTACTTTCTGTAATGCACTGCACTGGCAGTGTTGTGGTTTTTTATATTGAACATGAAGTACAGATGGTTACTGAAAGCTAAAAGCAGATGTTAAAATTATATTCACAGCCCTGAAAATGCAACATCACAGAAAACTTCCTGCATCTCTTCTTGATGTTATTCTCTGAACTACAGCATCCTACAAAAAGTGAAATTTAAAAACCAACCAAACAAGCAAGCAAAAAAATTACACTCAAATGGTTTTCATGTTCACTAGTGCTGCAGAAAGTTCCTTGGGGAACCATAAGACAKGAGCTGCTGTTGCCATATAGCTCTTCTTTTACCAGATGAATCAGCTGTTTATCCACACCCCTTGCTGGGCATGTTTAAGACAGACAGAACATTACTCAGTGATTTTATGCATAAGAGATAATTGAGCCATCATAAATCTCAAATTATGGGGTCTTCCACATTGCAGTCATTAGTTACAGAATAACAGAGGGCAAGGTGGATTTTTGTCAGCTGTTTATAATAATGCTTTAGAATGCATCCTTAAATCTTCATAGATATAGAATCCACAGCATTCAGATTAGTGCCTGAAGGATAACACCAAACTTCCTGGTCTCRTTGGGCAGGTATTCATGAATCTCATATTTGATTAAACATTTCTTTACATTTGTACTGAGATCCCCTGGTTCATTCCACCTCCTTTCAGATTTTAGGACAGCACGAGAGATTACAGAAATTAATTGAAAAATTCCAATGATCTGACACAGGAGAGCATTCTTTTGACATTACTCTTTCAGATCAGAGACTCATAGAGGGTTTGAGTTTGAAAAGACCTTAAATATCATTTTGTTTCAATGCTCCTGCCATGGGCAGGGACAACTTGCATTAGACCAGGTTCCAGCTTGGGCTTGAACACCTCCAGGGACAGGACACTTTCTACATTTCTGGGCAACCTGTTCCAGTGCTTCACCACCCTCACAGTAAAGAATTTTTCACTAATATGTAACCTAAACTTACACTCTTTCTGTTACACAAGGCACAGAAAAACACAAAAATTTAGAGTCTGACTCATCAGAGCAACAGAAATTATCCTGTTCCACTGTCAACAAGAACAAAACCCATATATCTCACCAAGGAGTTTACAGGAGAGCTGCATGTTATCATACAGAGTAATCTTTAAAATTAATCAAAAAAGCAAGACAGAAAGTGCATGGGAAAACTCTGTTCTTTACTTGAACATCAGTGCTGATGTGACTCAGGTTTTATACCATAAAATYCCTAAACAGAAAATAAAAAAGGTAAGACGGCCGAATAGAGCACTTTACTGTCAGCTTTGGGAAGAGAATAAATAACAGTAGGTACAAAAACATGCAAAAGAACAGAAGAATTTCTTTTAGAATCACAAAGACACAGCTACCTCAGGTAACCTTCCAGAGAGTTTTCCAGCTACTTGCAGCTGCTGATCATGGGTCACCAGTAGGCTTCAGCCCATCTAAACAGGACTGGCAGTGGCTCAGTGCATTTCTCAAAAACTAAATTTCTCCCTCTCAGGCAAAATTAGTGGTAAAAATGACTGAGGCACAAATCTGGATTACACATCATGTTACAACACAAGCATTACAATGACAATGGAAAATTCACAGGAAGATGATGAGACAAAAAATGYCATGCCTTCATTCTTTTTGTGTGATGCCAGAACCCATTAGAATATGGTTTCAATGTGATAAGACAAAATAGAAAACATTTCCRAAGATCCCTCCAGTCATATCCCAATGTTACTACATATGAACTTACAGCATTTTTTTCCAAATTTCTTTTTTAAAGAAATCAAAATGGGTACATCATACAAGAACCTATGGAGATTTCAAATATTCAACATTCTATTCAACAGACAGAAAGGTAATGTTGCCAAATTGTGAATTCTGCACAACCTAACTGTATCAAGGGATTATGCCTGCATGATTCATGCACTACTGRGGCCAATGAAAGCTAGTTACCTCTTAGAATGTACATTAGAATACTTCTACTAGTCAAACTTTTTCTGCTCCAAATATTTGTCAATACTGAGCTCCATGTATAAAAAACACTGAAAAACTTGCTGCTGTGCTGGGGGAAAAGGAAGATCTCAACAAATAGTAGCTGAGTTCAAGCAGACAWTATTTTTTGCAGTTTTTCTGCGTGTATCCAAGCACTTCACAATTCTATGTAAATCTAAGCATTCAACTGAATTTCAAGCTTTTTGAAACACTAGTATTATCAGAGGAAATTGTTCACTGTTTTCTGAATTCCTTAATGCAACTAAATAAAAAGAAACATGCATCTAATATAGTCACTGTGAGTAGCATTCTGCCACCATTTCTCCCAGAAGTCACATATACATGACAAATGTTCTATTGAACAGTCACTCCATTGCTTCAGCTTTTACACTTTCCATCTTCTATACATTTTAGTCCTCTCCTGTGCCACTTGAGATTGGGATGCTTTGCAAGTGAGTATCAATAATTTCTTCTTCCAAATCCAAATCTTTTCATAGTAAACTGAATATTTTTAGATAAAATACRAGTTAAACTTGAGCTTTTAGAAGTTGTTTGGTGTACTACATGAATATAGCTTATTTTTAGAAAAATAAATCAAAAGTATTCTGATGCCAAATTCTTACAAAAATATCCTTGAAACCTATGGATTACACACACATAGATAAAATGTATACATAGTATTTTTTTCCTTAAAGGGTTATTGTAGCAACTAAAGTTTCTGTGACATTATCTGTGACATAAGAGAAAGTTAAGTTACCCTAATACTAAACGTAAGTCACCCATCACATAGTTAATTCAACTTCTGTGTCCTAAATCTGAGGCTGGTAACAAAAAATCCTTTGTCAACATCTCATTCTCTTTTGCTGTTGTTCTTAAAACCTTYTCACCATGATAAATAAACTCATGCTAGCTGCACTTTATTTTGCTTTTTTTGCTATGCATTMATTTTTCAGTTATTGGAGTTTTGATCGGTATTTTATCAAAACAAAAACTACAGAATTCCTCTGATGAGGATCAAACCACTACACCTATGGAATTTATGAACTACAATCTATCACATCTAGGCAACATCTACATGCAGGAAAAGTTGTTTTGAGTAGGTCGCAACACTCTCTGTTGGCAGAGCTCCTGCATATGYTGCTACACAAAGTGCCACGAGAAGAATGAGTCCTTATGCCTTGTTGGGTAAAAGCAGTGATACAAATGCAGGCTAGAGGAGACACTCAGGAAACCCATCTATTTTTGATAACACAATGGAAGGAAGAAAGAGATTAAGGTAATCTGCAATTACTACCATCCCTCYGTGCTTCCCTCTTCCTTCACTAGCATTGCTAAGGAGCACAAAGTTCTAATTGGACATTTATGGATTTAATTTTTACTRGTTAGTACTCCAGCCAGCTAAACATGGGATATAACAGCTCACTCCAAATATGTCAGACACATGTGTAGGTGCATGCACAAATTGCAATATATACTATTTCTGCATTAATGGAAGAATTCCCTGAGGTATTCCACATAGACCAGTCAAYACCCAGCATTAACTGCTTTTGCACAATCTCTTAAGCCTTGCCTCATTTTAAAGCAAATACATGATCTCCCATACAAAAGGCACCTTGTACTTATGCTTAAAACAGAAAACATTATACCAAAAATATGTGGATAAAATTCTCCTTCATTTCACAAACTGAGTAGATAGATAGGTAACAGCTAAGACACAACTTCTAATGAGTCAAGACTCCAGAACTGCCAATTAAACTGTYTTCTGTTAGTGGATAAAAACTTCTGAGTACCAAAGCAGTTCTGTTTCCTGGAGAGGTCTTCACAGCTGGACCATTTAAAGGCAATGACAAGACAGACAGCAACATTTCCAAAAGATAACTAAAATAACACATTCCTGTTTTGAGAACAGTTTTTAAAATAATGAACGTTATTTCCCCCCAACCTGTGACAGAAGCTCACCACTTAGCCCACTGTATTTGAGTTTGCTGGACAATAAAAACAAGTTCAAATATATGTTTTGCATTTCCAGGAAGCAAGGGACAGCAAGAAGAAGAAAAATCAGAAAAGACCCTGAAGCAATTGCCAACCTTAATTTTTATTGCTAYCTCCCAGTGGCTGATTGCATCTGACTGAAAATGAAAGCTGGAACACGCAGGTCTTCCCAAGAGATCTGCCACCCCACATGTCTGCTGATCTCTGCCTTTAGCCTTGAGCAGTAAGGAAAAGCTGTTGATGTGCAGAGCACTGTGAGATAGTGAAATCAGGGGAGCATRGAGTCTTTAGGACTCCAAATAGGACATGAAGGTGCTATTTGTGAAGAGAAACAAATGAAGCTTATTCTAAATTACAGCATGGAAACACAGGAAAACCWTCGGATATTTAAAAATCAGTTTAAAAACATGAGCTCTCAAGACTTACATTTCATTTGCTTGAAGATGGACTTGTTGGGCTCAAGCCAGTGCTGGAAAGACAAAGCAGAGTGAAGAGGTTAATGTGGAACACAGTAGACAAAAATATCCTTGTAAATGGATATGGCATCAAAAACGGGAAGTAAGATTTTTGTTTYACTGAGCTATATAAAAATGAGAAAAGCACCTCCACACTGGAATTACACTGTATAACCATAGCTTATGTCACCAGTGCCTGTAAGAAMGCTGTAGCTGAGATAGAAATAAAACAAATATTTCAAAGGCATGGTTAAAGGGGACAGGCTCTAGTGTTCAGTTTKCAGCAGACACCTCAGTCTCACACTTCCAACCATTTCTCTTTCCAGAAGAACGATCATATCAGGCACCAGGACAGACTATCCAGAAACTTTAATAGTCTCTTCATTAGGGTTGTCTTCTAATTTCTTACAACTGAAGCATGTCTAAGCGCTGTATCCTCAGCCCAAACCCTCAGGACACAAACCATTGCTCTCTTCTAGCAATAACTAAAAATCTGAAGGGAGAAAGAGTGCACTTTTCCACTAAATGTACACATTAAGAGCAGCCAGCATAAACAGAGAGGTAYGGTTGCCTATCAGTAGGTGCACAACTTTTCAGCAAAAGACTGTTTTGGCAGGAAAAGTTGTTTGGTTTGTTTTGTTTTTGTTTAATTGTCCTAGAAAATAAACTCAGGTGCTTCTGGAACTAAAAGTTAGGCTCACATTTTAGTTAATGCACATCCCCTGCTAGCACTAGCTGACCTGCTCAGGAGGATGTTTTGTCAGACAAAAGAACATGCTGATATTCAAGTGCCACTTCTGACCACAGCCAGCAGCTTTTGTACTAGTATTTTTCCTGTAAGCAAAAAATCTCCACAGTAAAATGAGATTTGTGCTGCAGAAGCAGCTGGTGAAAAGGCACAGCATTCAGTTTTAATAAGCATACTCAACACTGGAAAGTTTTGCACCAAGGGGTTTCATTTTTAACCCTTTCATCGTAGCTCTAAAATCCTTTGGTCAACTCCAAAAAGAAAACCTAGCACTTATTAAACGATACATAATACTTAAAATATCCTACATGGACTACCATTTYCTCTCATAACTTTTAGTAATTCTAYTACGGAGAAAGGCCAGGGATATATATTTTGTAGGAGTTGTTAATAACTGACAGAAAATTATAACTTCAAAAATTATAAGATCTCAACAATTCAGACAAAGTCAGGGTAACTATAAATTAGTTTTCTGAAAGAGAACTTTGACTAAACAAATACCAYGGAAAGAACATTTCAAATATCTGCAGTTAACATACTGTGGTTGTTCAGAAACTCCTGCATATAGTTTACAGCAGTATTGGAGATAAACTCTACAACATATTTCTATTTGAAGCTCACTTATCACTGAGAGACTAATATGGAACCCTGGCACAAAYGAGTACAAATGAAACAAAAACCCAATAACCTCAAACTTCAAACAACAGCCACAACAAAACAACAACTCTACACCGTTTCTTTACCTATTCCCTTTTTCCAATATCTCTCTTTTTAGGGGAAAAGATGAAAGAAAGAGAATTGAGGCAGTAATGATGGTTCCACTGACTTACCAGAAATATCTGGCTCATTTCATTCTTTTTTTAGATCATACATATAAATTATTTATATGTCTCACTCTGAATAATGAGGGGTGAGAGTTGCTCATAAAAAGGTAAAGACAATCTGATTTAAGAAATCTTACACGGTCTGCAGCAGTTTATAGATTCATAATCCAAAATTAATTCACAGATAGGAAACCATTTGAGACACAYAGACACACAAGTGCACTTTCCTTACCCTCTTCACACACCCATCCCACCTCCACCAGGATCAGGCCAGGCCTAGATGAAGATTCAAACAGCAAAGGGAAACTTGGACAGTGAGCTATGCTGCTCTGCTCTCAGCAGAAGAGTTAAGAGTGCTCACTATTTTCATCTAGACGAAACACAACAYAATTTTCTTGATATTTCTTTTTCAAATACCAAGCTGGAATATCTGCACAGACCAGATCAGCACTTGCAGCTGTTTGAAAAAGTTAATTACCTGCTCTAACAAAAAGTCAGAGGTAATAAAAGCCAATTTGCAAATATGAAAACCTCATATTAGCCACATGAATAATGAAAGAGGGGAAACATGGATGAAATTCCTCAAACCCCCAGGAATGYAGATTTACCTAACACGTCCAGAAGCAAACATTTCTCTAAGACCTGACCTTCATGGGTTAAAAACAGATTGAAAAGACGCTGAGCAATTAAGCAATCTAGACTTTCACATAGAGGTCACAGAACTGACAGGCAGTTTTTACAAGCTCAGATTTCTGTTGTGACCTTCTGTTGGTGGAAGATTGCAAACACGTACAAAATTCAGCTGAATCTTCCAGAAAACTGAGGAGTTACTTTATAATTTGCGGAGATTTTCAAAGACACAGCAATTAGGTGCTTAATGCTCTCTGACTGTCAGGGGAAGATAAACACCTAGTCATTGCTAATACTTCTGGAAATAGTCACCCCTACATTTGTTTGCATATTTCAATTTGAATTTTAGGAAATATTTTCCCCTGAGTACTTATCTTTCAGCCTTACAGCACTGACTATTAATAATTAATACCTGTGYCTCATCTCTTCTATACAGTATCCAAGCTATATTTATTCCAAGATTAATTAGCTGTTGTAGCGAGGACCAGATTAAGGTTCCTATAAATTAATCAAACGGTTTCTGCAGAAACTTTAAATTGAAAAGCATCTGGTTTTCCAAAATGCTTTTTTTCATGTAGCAATATTCTTTTAACAATTTTTCTTAAAAAAAAAAATAGATGAAAGGGAAATATAACATTTTGAGTTAACTTGTCAAGATAAATTTTAGAAGTATTTTAAATACAAAAAAATGTCATTGGTACATATGCCAYACTGCCTTGCAAGAACAGTCCATAGACATTTTCACATCTTTATTGTAAGGAGCTATTGTATCCTTTATTATACTTGATAAGACTAATAAAAAAAAACAAACAAAACTAGTCAGATGTAAAATTGGAACTAGAGACAATAATCTTTTCTTTCCCTACTAGCACTAAAATATGCAAATCAGTGAGAGAAAAGAACTCCAGCAATTTTATGCAGTTTCATTTCTGTCTAAGGTATTTGACACGGTAGTCCATAAAGGCTGCTTTAATTGGATGATGGCCTACACCCTCAAACCAGCTTGGCTTTTTATGTGAGAGCACTTAATGATCATCAGAAATCATTCCTGCAGGAATTCCTAAGCCTCTTGTTTCATTGAATGCATGTTAGCAACACGGTTGCTGTACAATGGGGAAGAAAATACTTTGATCCTAAWCTAGACAACACATTACCAACCATCCTGAGAGGAGATCCATGGTCAGCATGACTAATTTCTGATCTTTTTGCCAAAAGAGGATTCAGTAGCTGCTGGTTGTCTCAGTGGTGACACAGATGTCCTCACAGAGGCAGATGGGAGAGAGAAAGATACATAGAGATCTTGAAGGTCAGTCACGGGATAGCTAATGAGTCTTGGTGGCTTCAAGTGCCAGTGGTGAGTAAGCAAACTATCATGGATATCACTTTTGGTGCTGGCATCCTAAATATGCTGAGCATTGCCTTCTGACTAAGATTTCATTGCAATTGCATGCTGTGTTTCAGACTAGTGCAATTTTTACTTTGTAAACAGAGCCTTCACCTCTGATCAGCCCTTAAGTGGCACTGAGTAGTCATTAGCGAGGCCAGGTGTGTTCTTGCTTACCCACAAATGCTGAGCAGCTGATGTGCTATCAGCTTTCACAGCAAAACCTCAGGGTGAACAAGGACACCGTGCAAGGGTAAAAGCACCATTCTAGAATGTAAATTTAATTCCACAAACACCACTTCAGCCTGTTTCAACCTGTTTCAAACAAAGCCTTCACTAAGAAGGTCTGAGAGGACTGAGATTGGTCTCGATTCAGCACAGGGCTGAGGGTGTTGGAATAAGAAGCAGTGAGGAAAGAGGAAACAGCGACAGAATCATAGAATGGTCTGGGTTGAAAGGGACATTAAAGATAATTTAGTTCCACCTCCCATGCCATTGACAGAGATACCTGCCASGAGACCAAGTGGAGCTCAGAGCTYCATCCACYCTAGCCCTGAACACATYTACAGCTTCCCTGGGCAACCTGTGCCATCGCCTCACCACCCTCAAACAAAAGTCCCTCCCCTCTTTCAAGCCAAGAGGTTTTCAATTTAATCCCTTTGTTTGCAAGAGAAGCAGTTAGGAAGGGGAGACTGAAAGTGGCCAAATACCATGAATATATCTCACTTGGCAAGCAATACTTAGCCAGGTATTGGATGTGCATATAGTAAAACAGAATCAGAAGTACCTGCAGGTTTTACAAAAATATTCCGGCCAAGGAATGGGTTGGAAAACTTTGTTTAATCGACAGAAAAGAGCAGGAGAATGGAGATACGAAACACTGCTAAAAAGTTTTTTAAAAAGCTWGTTTTAAACTCAATCTTATATTAATCTTGAAAATTAATACCTAACCTTTTCCTTGAACGAAGAGCAAAATCAAAGTAAATTTGCTTTAGTTCCAAAGAAGTAACTTGCATCAGGTCACCACCTGTCAAAAATCACCCCTATCCCTCCAAAAAAGCAGCCAAACCCAAAGCTAATGGAAGCTCACACAGGAAAATTAATTAGGTGTCGACTCTATACAGGCACAAGAAACACCAAAGGACCCAGGGCACAATGTATCTCCTTCTTCATGCCCTGAGCCAATACCATATCTTCATGGTTTCATGAAGCCTTACACCAAGAATATTGATATGTTTTTGCTGTAGCAAAAGAGCTGTTCCTATGTACTTTTTCCAAAGTTGGGGCACYGACGCTATTTAGAGCTATGCTAAGCTGAAAGAAACAAGGTAATATCACAAACTTTAATCTGATCCAGAAATAGTAACATACACTGGAACAGAATCACTATTTGTATGATTCTGAACTGGAATTTGTTAAAACAAATTT